ATAATTTTTATTCCATTTATAAAGAGGATGTTGAATTACTACTTTCTCCAGAATAATTAAATATATTATTATTCTTATTATTATATAAAAAATTTCTAATATTAAATATAAATCTAATTTTAAAAAATTTTTATATCAGTAATTTTCAAAACTGATTTTAATATATCATATTCTAAATGTACTGATGAGAGTTTATTATAAAATCATAGAATTATCTATAAACTAATTGTTCTATATTTATTCCTTACAGGCTAATTTTACTTAGCTGAAAGTAAAAATAGCTTTTCTGCTTTTAACTTTATTTTTATTCTGACATGTTGATGATAAACAAAATACAATTAGATACAGTTAAATACTGAATGTATGAACATGACAGATGATTCTGCATTATAAACTTTATTCTAAAACATTTATTTTTTATTTTATAATAAAACTTTTTGTTTAGTCTAGAATCTCTTGAATTTGATATTAACTTAGGATTTTTTGTGTTCTACTTGAGGAAGGTCAGTTAAATATGGCCAAAAACATTACAGTAATTAAGCTTTTCGTTGCAATTTATGGTTTCTGTGTTGTTTGAAATCAGTGCAGTTTTGAGTAGTTGTATTATTGTAACACCAGTCAAATCTCATAAGTTGGTCCTGCATATTTGCAAAAACTTTAAAAATAATAACAATAATAATAATTAATAAGCAAGTAAATGCATGCATGCATGCATACATACATACATACATACTTGAAAACATATTTTTTAGTAATGAATTTTAAAATATTTATTTTATCATTAAGCCTGCTTTTAAGCAACTATAAGTTGTAAGCATTGCTGCTTGTAATTTGTTTATAAATTTTCCTTTTATAGTTATGAAATATTTTGGAATAATTTCATATTAAAAAAATTATCATTAAGAAGACTGATGTAATAGCTTGGAAAAGGTAACTGTTGGGTGATTGATTGATTCAAACTGCTGACTTTGGAGAAACAATTTTAATACTTTGCCAGTTCAGCCAGCTTGCCAATAAATTTGATCATTTTAAATGACAGCAATGGAGCTTCCATTGTTGCTGTCTCTTAGAGAAGTCCAGTACAGTAATTTACTTTACATTTTAATTTCATGTTAAATAAAAGTTGCCTTTAATGTGAAAACTGTTAAATTTGGATAATGGTGATCGTCCTGAATTAAATTTGGAATGTTTTTTAGAATTATAAATGTTTAAATTATTAAAAATTCAAATATTTTTAAAATTAGACAGTTATGAAGCAATTTTTTTTTTTTTTTGTTTTGGTAAAAACAATGTTGGTATATTTTTGTAATTTTGTATTTACTTAGTATTTTCAGGATATTTTACATATTTTATATATAATAGGGATTATTAAAATTAAAAATAATAAGAAATGTGCAAGAATAGTTTTAAAGAGATTGAGTAAATCTGTAAAATCTCCATGCTCTACATTTGACATTGTATAGTTATATTATTTTTGTTTAACTATACAATGATTTAAAATCTATTAATTTTTTTTTTGAAATGATAATGTTCTGTAAAATATTTCTGTAATTTTTGTTTTTGGACTGTATTTTGATTAAATGCTTTTTATAAATAAAGGCTGCTCTCAATTTATGCTGGTGATGCATTCCTAGAGGAGGTGGGAGGTGGCATAAATAAAATCAGTCCAAAGTAAATACATTTTATTATGAAATAAATAAGGATGAATTCCAGGCATTCACAAATGAATGTGTGTGTATTTGGAAACCAAAGCATTGGACAGGGAAAATGGAAGAGATTATAAGATACCATCCAGCAGTGGAATGATGATTATTATATATTTCAATAAAAAATATTTAGTACCAAACTTTTATTAATACAAAATAATAATAAATACAGAAATTGTATTTAGCTATTTTTGTTTATCTTGTACAACAGTGCCACTAGATGCAACTTCAGTTCTGCAAAGATAGCCTCTGTTGAGGGTCGTTTGTCAGTGATGGACTAAGTCAGTGATGGACAAACTTTTAAAACAGTAGTATAGAATTTTCAATTTCAATGTTTTAAAAAATTCATTTAAGGGTATGTTCCATTTTTGCATAATCAAACTTTCAGAAATGCAGTCACAGATTCATTCATTGCATTAGTATTAACCACTTGCCGCTCACCGATTAATTAATTTAATGTAATTAAGCATTAAAAATACTTAAAACTGAAAAAAACGAAAGAAATGCTTTAATTTTGAAGAAAAAGCTTCAAATTTTATTTTCCTTTGTCTCGCCTTTCTGTGAAATTTGACACTGATGAGTCATTGTTTACACAGCTGGATGACCTTGAGAACAGCTGGAGTCAGATTTCCCGGGGCATTCTCAGACTCCTCGGGAGGACAAGGGTTTAAAGTAGGGTGAATACTAGCTGGCCATATATTTTAAAATATTTTTAAAAAATTAAAATTTTAATTGCGATTTCCGACCCCCCGACTTAATTAAACGTGTATATAATAAAATCTATTAATTAAAAAAATTAAAAAACTATTGGAGGTTGTTTTTGACATCAGAAAGTAGCTTTAAATAACTTTACCGAAGTCAAATCCGTGCACTACAACTTTAGAACGATTAATTAAATTTGATAAAAAAATCCCATTAAAAAACAATTAAGCCTTAATCGAGCCTTATCAAAGGCTAATTAAAATCGCGATAAAATTTTTTTGCACGGGCAAAAAGTTTTGAAAAAATTTGGAGACTTAAAAAACATTCCAAAAATCAAAAAGAAAATTTTTTGGGGGCCATAAAGACTGCATTTTTTGTAACGCTATGTAACATGCCCGAGTTAACTCGGAACTGGATGTTAAAATTAAAGAATTTTCAAAATATACTATTTTTTTTAGTCTTTATTGTATTTTATAATAAATTATATTGGCCAGCCAAATTTCCTAAAAAAGTTTGTCCGTCACTGGACTAGACTATGGATTATGCACCTTAGTAAAATAAGAATCCAAAGCTGTTTGCTGTTTGAATCTTGTTTTTCTTTTCTTTGAGAATTTCATAATAAGGTGCTAAGGCTTCATTTAAGACTCCTTTTTACAAAGTCACTTCCCTTTCAGTCAGGGTCCATTTTGCAACACTCTTTAGTTGATGAGTAGAAATTGTTTAAGGGCATCAGTAGTTATTATCTTTACAATGTTCTGAGTTATCATTATTTGTCTCCACTCTTTGTTTGTTTAAATGTTCTATTAAATTTGTCTTTACCATTTTCGATTTGGCAAATGTCTTCCATTATCAAACACACTCAATCAACTTTAAAACACAGCAATAGTTTAATTACTAAAATGTCATTTTTAATAGTAATGGTATAATACATAATGGAATGCCACAATGACAGTTTTAGTAATTAAACTATTGTTGTGTTTTAAGGTTGATTGGGTGTGTGTTGCTTTGCATGGCAGCTGTGAATTAGTCTTCCATCATCATCTAAAATTACAGATTGACATAATTCTTTTGGATTTGGTAATTTCCTTTTATTTGGGATGACTGTTTTCTTTCTATTTTTTCCCTTTATCATCTTGGTTTATTTATATAATAAAAACCAAGGTTATAAAGGAGAAAAAATATTAAATTTTATAAGATGTAAAGTCCAATAATCCTCATGAGATTAAAAAATGAATAAAATTATAAAACACTGGATATGCACTTCTACTTGAAATTTAATCTCCAACTACAGTTGTTTTTTTATGAATATGTACAAATTATGTAGCACTGAAAAGGGATTCAGAGTTCATGTCAACTTGAAATGCATATGTAGAAGAAGCAATTAAATAAATTGTTCATTTTAACCTTTAGATATTTTACTTGATGAACAAAATACTATACCTATAAATACAGGATTATTTAGTTAAAATGTGTATGTGACAATGCCAAAGGGCCCCCTCTATGCTTCAGCACCACAGGACCAAAAGGTCGACATTGCGTCAGTGAAGACGGCAATGACAAATTTATCAGGACTGACACCACTGTGTCTTCTGGGTAGACACAGAGACCATTACGTTCGAATTTACGTGTGAGCAGTCGTGTATGTGGACTCTTAGTTCCGGGATGGAGGCGTAAAGAGAGAATCAGAGGAATTACACTCTACATAATCTATACATAATACCCATTTATTGTTCTCTTTAAGCTATATACAATCAATTCAGTTAACATATCTACTTCTTTCCCAATTACCTGTATTTATGAGAGAGAGTTCACATTTAATTCGCGCGAGGATAAATACCTTGATATAAGTTGGCAAATAGTCGTTTAGTCCTCGAGTCTCTGTGTGGAACAAAGTTCTTTCGAACGTTGATATTGGCACAAAGTTCTTTCAAACGTTGATATTTCTTTAGGCGGTGATCCTCCCGAACGGCAGCGATTCGAATAGTTCCTGGTAGCGGCTAATCCGTTCACGTAAATCCGCAGTTCACACCAAACTCCAGAGACTGACTCTTACGCATCGATCCCTCCTTTTTATAAAGGGGGTCATCTTTGGGTTTTTCCCACTGCCTCCGTCCAATAGTTTTCTTTCGTCTTTTCGTAGATTCCGGGTGACACATTGGATGTATCATCCTCAACATGGAATTAAGTTCGTGGGAAAAAGTTTTATGTTCTTTTTAAATATCGGTTTGTTGTTTATTTTTCTAAACTGTTCCTCGAAAAAAAATATTTAACAATTTATTTCACTAAGTTCGACTCTCACATGTATGAATACAGCAAACCTTTAATTAAGAGAGGTGAAAAAACAATATAGGTTTATAATTTTTTTATCTATATTGCAGTATATAATTTTTAAAATTATAACTACTACTGTGTAATCTTTTATTTAATATTTTTATATATTTTGAACACTAAATAATAAAAAAAACTTTATGTAAAATTTCTTGGAAATTTATTAAATTTTGGATTTAGCATTACATTTATATTCAGTTTACATTCTTAAAATTTATTTTTATTATACTAATATTTAAATTAAAATTATCATTTATTTTCTAGGATCAAACAATTGAAATTTTCAAAATTATAGAAGCTCTAAGAGAGGTAAGTAAATAATTTTCTGGAATATTCTAAATTATTTAATTTATTATAATTATTAAATTAATAAGAGATGGTGCCTAACATCTCCCTCTAGTGACAAATTATTTAGAAATTAATTAAATATAATAACGAAAAATGTAGCCTGATGTAATTTGATATTTGTTTGGCTTTTTACAAACATATCGAGTTTAGAGCTGTTTGTATATGTATCATTCTATGGTTTATTGGAACTGCTAAGCTCTTACTTTATCACGGTGGTGACTAGCAAGAGAGTTGTCATAATTACTACTAGTGACTGACTAGCTGAATGATATTATTGATGATTTCTACAAGATATACTAATAAATTATTGTATATAATGATATATTTTAAGATAATTTCTTTAAGAAATTCCTACATTTTAATACTTGATGACTTATGATGTAGAACTAATTTCAATATTGTGTGTTAAGTTAATAAATTTTCAACATAAACTAGTTTTTGAAATTTCATCATTATCCATTTTTTATAATATACAATAAAAGTTAGGTTTTCATTAAGAATTATGTTAATTTAATTAATAAACACTTTTAAGATCTCATTTTCCAGAATCTAGAAAATTAAAGAATGAACATAATATACAGTAGAACCTTGATATTTGTAATATTCGATATTTGTCACATTTGATGACTTCCCCCCCATATTCATCAGTATTTTCTGTATTTGCCCTCATTCCCAACACCAGCAGTGGCACTACAATCACACACCCATGCTGATCAGCTAGCCATGTTAGCATAGTGTTGCCAATTTAGCTAAGTTTTTGCTAGATTTAGTGGATTTATGAACAATCTAGCTATGAAAATTACCTAAATTATAATGGCCTAGCTATTTTTATAATGCTATCTAGCTATAAAATAAATCAAACAATTTTAATGGAAACAGTATGATTTGAATAGTTTTATTAAAATGTCTACCTATAAATTTGAATTTTGAGTTGGCAACACTATTTTGCTAGCTGCAGTTAATCAGTCTGGTTTGTGCAGTCGTCGTGTGTGTTCTTGCGTTGATTATTTTCAAAAACTCTGGTTCCAATGGTCTCAACAAAATGCACTGAAGAAAAACAATAAAAAAAGGAAAGCTGTTAGAACAACAATAGAGATTAAAAAAAATTATTGCTAAGTTTGAAAATGGACAAACTTGTTAAATTCTTTTATATTTTTCATTTTCTTTCATATTAAATTCTTTGGTTATGTTTCCAACTTAGCCAAAGAATTTAATATGCCGAGATCATAATTGGAATTACCTAATGTTTTAACTGATGGTATGGCTTCTAAACAATAATAATCTTACTCTTCTCCCCCTTCTACCACTATACTGTATTTATTTAGTAGAATAGAGATAAAGTTTTACAAAAAACATAAATCTTTTATTGTACCATTTTTTAGGATGGGAATGGTTTAATTGAATATCAGTTATTTATTATGAGAAAAATTGTTTCTATATTCATCATTTTCTATATTTGTTAAGTCTTTAGGAACAGATTAATGATGAATATAGAGGTTTCACTGTAGTTGTAAATAAACTTAAGAACAGTAAGAATTAAATCATTAAAAAGTATTAAAATAGAACTTTACATTTAATATATAAAACTGTGTGAAAATTAACTTTTATGTTTTTAATATAAATTTAATTTCATGATTTAATAAACTTTTCGTTCATAATTTATTTTAAGTAGTCAAAATGTAAATTTATTACTTTGATGATTTTAGATCTGCCCCGTGGGTTCAAGTAGAGGTTGGTCACTTGTTGATAATCATTGTAGTTTGAGATGCTGGCAAAGATCATTTCCTTTCCAATTTTTTGGATCTCAAATTAATGTTTATGCCAGTTCAACAAGATTAAACGTTCCAACAGTGGTAAGAAGCATTTTTTCATTTTTATTTTGTCTTTTCATTAACATTCTTTAATAAATGATGAATTTAAACATCTAGTGCGTATTGAATGTTATTGCTGATGTAACAACTTGGCCAGAATGGGATCCGGCTATTCATCATCATCCGTTACAGGCTGAAATTTCGGACGATGTCGACTTACATGGAGATTGCTATATGCAGTGTGACCAACTTGTTGCCATGACTGTTAGCAACAATCCTAAACCTGGAATATTAATGCATAGGTATGTATATATTCAATTTATTTGGTGAAATTTTTAATTATTATTCAGATATAATTAGATTTATTTATACCATACATATAGCATGTCTGTAATAGCAGATAAAATTGTTTTTCTTTAAATTAAGACTTTAAAAAAATTACATAAAATTGGAACAAGGTTTAAAAAAAGATTAAAATGTTTAACTAAAACTAGCAAATAAATTTACATTATAAGCTGGTATACAGAAAAAAGTTTTGTAGCAAAACAGGATTAATTTGAGTACTATTACATGATTTAAAGAAAATATTTATAATTTATAATAATTTATAAATACAATAACTAGTTATATGTTGAAAAATATTTTAAGATGTTTAGTAACAAATAATTAGATTGCTGCAAAAGGTTTGTTGTTTCTATACAAGACTCCTTTAAACAAAACTGTTGCTTACTATTTGATGACAGTCAGTAGTATGGTTTCTCTGTATGAAGCATAATGCATGTAATTGACAGCAAAATAAGATTATTATTTACATTCAGTATAATTTATTCATTGTACAGAGGTAAAATGACATTTCAATCAAAACTTCTTCCAAAACTTCAGACTATGAGGCGTTAAATATAATTAAAAATATTTTAATCTTGCGAGCGCTTTCGACGTAAATATGCACGTCGCCTTCAGGCAATTCAAAATTGAATAGAGAATTCGAACCATACATTTAAATTTAAACATTAACGATATTAGCCGTTTTTTGAATATAACTATTATAAATAAGATTTAAATTTTAGAATTAAAAACATTTTAAAATATTTAAAATTGGTACGCATGTGTTTTAAAACAAATAAACTTTGATTGGAATGGCTATTAATTATTTTGTAAACACGAAAAACTGGCGCGTGTGCACCTTAACATGCATAACATAAGAGCCAATTAGAGTGGCTATTAAGAACAAGTAAATTTTACATTTTAAATTAAAATTAAAAACCCTTTGTAAACACGTATAAAATGTTTGGCACACATGCGTCTTAACATAGACAGCATAGAAACCGAACAGAATAGATCCATAAGTGCTAGTTTACATTAATATTTGAATATTAAAGACTAAAGCATGGGACTAAATATTTTAAAATGTTTTTAATTCTAAAATTTAAATCTTATTTATAATAGTTATATTCAAAAAACGGCTACTATCGTTAATGTTTAAATTTAAATGTATGGTTCGAATTCTCTATTCGATTTTGAATTGCCTGAAGATGACGTGCATATTTATGTCGAAAGCGCTCGCAAGATTAAAATATTTTTAATCATATTTAATGCCTCATAGTCTGAAGTTTTGGAAGAAGTTTTGATTGAGATAACTGTTGGCATGACATCCAAGCCCAGTACTTAATACTCCTAATAAAATGACATTTATCTTCAGTAAAAAAAAAATTCATTGTCTTATGCTGTAAGAGGTCAAACTTGGCAGCAGTTTATCAGCACAGAAGTCTACAGATTATGATTTGATTATGATATCTAAGGTGATTTTGTGAAGTTTTGCTCATATTATTGAAACAAATTGATCCTGCATCCCAATAATGATCATGACAACTATGTAGCAGTAGTAGTAGTAGTAGTAGTAGTAGAGATATTACTCTTTGATACAACCTGTGTTATGGAAAAAGGGGGAAGATGGGGTGGGGTGAGAAAGGAAAGGAGATGAAAAGAAAAGGGTTGGAATCCATGGGCGTCCTGCGACGGTGTTTTATAAGGAATAATCAGCAGAAAAAACAATAACAAGAATGTTACAGAGGAATACAGGTTGGGAGTGCCATGTTACAGATTGCAAACAGCACTAACATATGAACAGGTAATAATGTAAATACAGTGTGCAGATTAATAATGTTACAAGAAATTACATGTTGAGAGCTGTCAGACAAATCGTAGACAGTACAAACATAATAACAGATGACAAACGAATGTACATTATGCAGATTAACAATAGTGCAATAGTTACATGGGGAGTGCTATGTGACAATGACAGATAGCACAAACGTATTAATAGGTAACAAACATAAAAACAGTATGCAGAATAATATTGGTACAAAGTAGTTACATGTTGAGTGCTATTTGGCAAATTGCAGATAGAACAAACATAAAAACAGATGACAAACCTATGTACAGTATGCAGATTAACAGTGTGTAAACTAGGTACAGGGTGGGTGCTAGGTGCCAGAATACAGGTAGCCCGAGCAAATTAACAGGTTACAAACATATATACACTTGACATTACCAGGGTTACACTAAAAGCATGACAACTATATAATGAAGAATTCAGGAAACTCTTGTTTATATTGATCAATTTCCCATACTATTGTTTACAATATATAAGCCGTTGAATTTGAAAGTTGAGCAAGCCCATTTTATGTTATTGCTAGATATTTACAAACATCGCTAAATCCAATATATAATATAGCTACACACCAACCGAATGCCGAAAATCTATCGGGCTAGTTTAAGGCTAATTATTAAGGCTAAGGCTAATTATTAATAAGGCTAAAGCCAAATTGGTTACGTAATTCATTTAGTAATTAGCCTTAAACTAGCCCGATAGATTTTCGGCATTCAGTTGGTGTGTAGCTATGCTAGATATTTAATGGTTTGCATTTGAATGAGCTTAAAAATATTTTCTTTTTGAAACTGTGTCCTGTTTTATATTTGTGGCGTAGTAAACACTAGTACTGTATTTTCATTGAGTTGAACAAATGTGTGTAAACATTAGTTCAACTCAACTAATAAAAGAAAATTTGCCATGTGTCTTTGGAATAAAACACAGTACTAGTGTTTACTACGCCACAAATTAAAAATATTTGTAAGTAGTAATAGACTTATTATATATANATTCAAAAAACGGCTACTATCGTTAATGTTTAAATTTAAATGTATGGTTCGAATTCTCTATTCGATTTTGAATTGCCTGAAGATGACGTGCATATTTATGTCGAAAGCGCTCGCAAGATTAAAATATTTTTAATCATATTTAATGCCTCATAGTCTGAAGTTTTGGAAGAAGTTTTGATTGAGATAACTGTTGGCATGACATCCAAGCCCAGTACTTAATACTCCTAATAAAATGACATTTATCTTCAGTAAAAAAAAAATTCATTGTCTTATGCTGTAAGAGGTCAAACTTGGCAGCAGTTTATCAGCACAGAAGTCTACAGATTATGATTTGATTATGATATCTAAGGTGATTTTGTGAAGTTTTGCTCATATTATTGAAACAAATTGATCCTGCATCCCAATAATGATCATGACAACTATGTAGCAGTAGTAGTAGTAGTAGTAGTAGTAGAGATATTACTCTTTGATACAACCTGTGTTATGGAAAAAGGGGGAAGATGGGGTGGGGTGAGAAAGGAAAGGAGATGAAAAGAAAAGGGTTGGAATCCATGGGCGTCCTGCGACGGTGTTTTATAAGGAATAATCAGCAGAAAAAACAATAACAAGAATGTTACAGAGGAATACAGGTTGGGAGTGCCATGTTACAGATTGCAAACAGCACTAACATATGAACAGGTAATAATGTAAATACAGTGTGCAGATTAATAATGTTACAAGAAATTACATGTTGAGAGCTGTCAGACAAATCGTAGACAGTACAAACATAATAACAGATGACAAACGAATGTACATTATGCAGATTAACAATAGTGCAATAGTTACATGGGGAGTGCTATGTGACAATGACAGATAGCACAAACGTATTAATAGGTAACAAACATAAAAACAGTATGCAGAATAATATTGGTACAAAGTAGTTACATGTTGAGTGCTATTTGGCAAATTGCAGATAGAACAAACATAAAAACAGATGACAAACCTATGTACAGTATGCAGATTAACAGTGTGTAAACTAGGTACAGGGTGGGTGCTAGGTGCCAGAATACAGGTAGCCCGAGCAAATTAACAGGTTACAAACATATATACACTTGACATTACCAGGGTTACACTAAAAGCATGACAACTATATAATGAAGAATTCAGGAAACTCTTGTTTATATTGATCAATTTCCCATACTATTGTTTACAATATATAAGCCGTTGAATTTGAAAGTTGAGCAAGCCCATTTTATGTTATTGCTAGATATTTACAAACATCGCTAAATCCAATATATAATATAGCTACACACCAACCGAATGCCGAAAATCTATCGGGCTAGTTTAAGGCTAATTATTAAGGCTAAGGCTAATTATTAATAAGGCTAAAGCCAAATTGGTTACGTAATTCATTTAGTAATTAGCCTTAAACTAGCCCGATAGATTTTCGGCATTCAGTTGGTGTGTAGCTATGCTAGATATTTAATGGTTTGCATTTGAATGAGCTTAAAAATATTTTCTTTTTGAAACTGTGTCCTGTTTTATATTTGTGGCGTAGTAAACACTAGTACTGTATTTTCATTGAGTTGAACAAATGTGTGTAAACATTAGTTCAACTCAACTAATAAAAGAAAATTTGCCATGTGTCTTTGGAATAAAACACAGTACTAGTGTTTACTACGCCACAAATTAAAAATATTTGTAAGTAGTAATAGACTTATTATATATATATATTTTGGTTTTATTTCATGTAAATTTAATATGCAATAATGGTTATCCACATTAGGTGAAAAAAATCGTGGTTTTGGTATTCACCAATGGAATTGTTTTACTTTCAAAAGCAATGATTTTTTGAAAACGTTGCATTTCTTTGAATAAAATATAGTTATAATAACAAAAAATTGAATATTTTATTTATTTACTTATTTTATTTCAACATTTCATACTTTTTTGAAAAGCTACAATTAAACAAAAAAATAAATTTAATTTTATAGGAAAAAGAGAAGAAAATAATAAAAAATATTTAGTAAAAAGTTGCATGCATATAATTATATTTCTTAGTTTAGATGGTGCAGATTTTTAAAGTTTTCATAATAAATGGGTGGTACATAGGGTAATAAATCCATCATATCTTCATATTTTTCTTTAGAGTGGACTTTCCTCACTTTCAAAATCAACTCGCTGTAAATATCATTGACAATATAAATTATTAGTAACAAATTTATACTGATATTAAAAGATATTTATTGTGAATTGATCGAAAACAAATTTTATGTTAATTTGTAATAAGAATTAGCTTTAACTATTTTTTTCACAAAATGGATTTGTCCCACTTTCAGAATCAATGGCTCATATGTAGTCCAGCAGGAAATGGCTGAAAAAACAGAGATTTTCATCAACAGAGAAGACACAAATTCACACCTTCAACCATCTTTCAGAGGCCCTCGTCAGGAAAAATTCCAAAAACAGAAAAAACAGTTCTATCTTTTGAAAAGTTTTAGCTTTCGAATATAGCTGTGTTCTAATTTTTAAACATTTAAATGCTTTTGAATACAAAGATTGTTACATATTACAACATATAAATAAATTTAACTAAAGCTATAAAAAATTCATTAATAATATAATATATGGTGTTGTAAAAGTTAGCCTGATGTTTTAATGTATAAACGATGTTCGATAAGGAAAATTGTTTCCTTTACATTGCCTAAAGTTAAATGCATAATTACACATCAGAAATTATCGTTATGCTTTGTGGTATTGTAAATAATATTTCCACGATTGTGGAACCTGAATATAGTCAAAGTTAATGCAACCTCCCTTCATGCACACTATATAATTTTCAAGAACCTCCAATGAACATAAGTTGTGTCAGTCAAAAGCCCTGTGTAAAAGAGTAGCTTCATCCCAACATGGAGAAACCCCGGGTTTGGTAGCATACTGGACTAGTGCAGTATTATACTTCCCCTTGGACACATCATATTTGTGATCCCATATTCTAGCTTCTAGTGATCTGTACTTTGATCCAATGTATGTTATATGTCTATTGAAACATTCATTTTGCAATGGAATGCGGTACACTCCTGGCGCTTTCTTATCATTGGATTTGTCTTTTGCATTAGATGAGAGCCGAAAAATGATTCATTTTCTCTTATAAGTTAAGCACAAGTTTAAATCCTTAACAATTCTATTATAAATTTATTGGAGGGATGGTTTATAAGTATAACAACCCAATTGTGCTCTGCATCAGTTTATTTGCTCATTTACTACTGGAATTAGCATTTAGATGTGAATTTGTTTGTTTATTGTAAAGTTCCAGTTTTTTTGTCTAACAGAGAAGACATTCTTCTCTTGCATGCTTGACCATGCAGCATATAAAAAATGCATTATAAACTTCAGAAGCTTAAATTTGAAACACTTCCAATCCACCATAGTCTCTTGATTCTCCCCTCATAGGTTATCATTTATTCAATCACTTTGATTAGTTTTTGCAGCAAAAGATATTCTCCACCCAAATGGCCATTGAAAGTGCTATCAGTTTTTGAGTTCTGTGAGTATGAAAGTTTTTTAACAGGGATTAAAAGACTTTTATTTTAAATGTGAATAAGTTTGAAGTCAATAGTGAATATTTTGAGTAATAAAAATTACTTTGAAATTATGTAATTTCATTTTCAACATTGTTTGATAAGTATAATAAACCTTCTGCAATAACTGAATCATATATGTAATACTAAATCTTGTTTTAATTTTATTAAAATAAAACCATGTTTTTATAGAATCAAAGTACAGCAGAATTTGCTTATTGTAATCACTTTTGGGACTCATCTATACTGATGATGATTGATGAAATTCTGGTTTTATTGACTATTAATAAGACATGCTAAAACAAGAGATAAATTATTAATCTTGAAGTTAGACATCTAATTATAATTAATTAATTAAAAATATAATTGAAGTAAAATATACCAACAGTTTAAAAATTACTGTATAGCAAGTAAATGAATAATTAAAATGATCACATATTATCAGTATCACCCAGGTTGATACCAATAATATGAAACATACAGCTTAAAAATGCATTTTACCTGAAGACAATAACTATAACTGAATATTTAACTTTAAGTGTAAGCTGTTTTTTTTATAAATATTTCTGGATATAAGTATTTATAAAAAAAGCAACTTACACTTAAAGTTAAATATTAAAACCTCAAATCCAGTCCTCTGTGTAGTTAAACTATAACTGAAGTTCTGCTTAGAATAAGAACTTTTATTTTATAAGTATAAAAGGTTACATATTTAAACTTAATTTTTGGATATGTCAACAGTTATTTAATGTTATTAAAATCAGCAATCTCTCATTACAAATATGCATATTTTACTGTGTTTTATATCAACCATTTCAGACATGTATTCAAGAACATTTCAATTTTAGTATTCGTTGAGAATACTAAAATTAAAAAGTTCTTGTTTATATTTGTTATATTATTAAATTTATAATAATAGATACTCAAATATTAAAATTTTATAAGATTATTTAATTTTTAAATACATATAATTATTAATAATAATAACTCTTACTGTTTAATTTTGGAAATTTTTTTTTTTTAAATTATCTGAGTAGCAGTTTTACTAAATAGAAAGTATGAGACTTGTACAGTACATGCAGCTTCTAATCTCATTTAATAATTATCATTATCATAAAATCAATAAATAATAATTGCATCAGCATTATAAAGCCATTTGAAACCTGAGTATCTCAGGGTTCAGATGGCTTTAGAATTCTGGTGCTCAATGGTTTAGTATTCTTTATTATATAGTTATTGACATAATTGATAATCACATTTCAGAAACTGTTCAAACTGTTTATATCAATTTGGGACAAGTAAAAATTGAATATTCTTTGCTAATTTTTATATTTTGACTAGATTTGGAAATTTAGAAGAAAATGGTGTTGGATGGATACTTCTGTGGCATTTAAGTCATCTTAACTGGTGCTTTTTCCTTGCTCAACCTCTAGAAACTGCTGGAGGTAATTTGTTATTTATTAAGCTTTTGATTATTATTTATGTTAAGTAGCTTATGAAAAGGGAGTAAATACATATAGACAATGAAGACCAAATTATTCTAGTAATCAAATGATGATGGATTAACTTTCAGGCTAGAACTTGGCTAATTAATATAATAAATATTTTATAATTTAGATTAAAGATAGACAGTTAAGCCACTACTTTGTACCAAATTTAAAAAGTAAATTAATTTAGAAAGTAATAATTTAGATTATTCTGGAAGAAAATATTGATATGAAGTTGTTTGGCTTATTAATAATAGATTGGATTTCAAGAGGTTTGTTTGGATATGGAGTAAAACTAAAGCCCTCAATTTCTTCCCTGTGCAGACATGTTTTCAATTATTTTACCTGGATTCTGTCTAATCTTGACTTTCAGGCTGATTTAATTTAAGAGAGGTACTCTTATGGTATCTTATAAGAACTTGCCAACTAGTTCTAGTTTAAAGTTAGTCTGGTGTTTTCATTTGGTTATAAGAAAAAAGATTAACTAAATATGTTGAAAACAAATTATCAAAGTATTTTATGATTGAAACTTCTCCTTGTACTGATCATAAACACAAAATCACATTGGCGTATAAAGACAAAATTCCAGTGATTATTACAAGAAATAAATACTTGGAAGAGTTTCACTTACATCTTGCTAGGTACGGGGACAGTGGAACTCTCCACGGACCTACTCCAATGTGATTTGGAAGAGATAAAGCAATATGTAACACAAAGAATCTTCCTTCAGAATTTGTTTTGTCTCTTGACTAGACTGTTGCCTGCCAGGTTATTTGGGTTTCCAAGACCTACAACATCAATTGGACTATTTATCCTGTGGTGGAGAAATATCTTTTGCCCATATTCCTGATGGAAGAAAGACTGGCTACAGTTATTAAGGCTCATTTGATCAAGAACCTTATGTTGTACCATGTGGTACAGAAAATAAAGGATTTGGACCAATTGCAGTGTATAAGATGTTCACAGTAATGAATTACAAGATTTTATTTTCAACCCTCAAGTTAGGGGAATATATGCTTAAAAATTAAGATTGAAATATTTCACCTTTGGTAGCAGGTGGGACAAAAGTATTTCACGGTTTGTTCACAGAATAATATATTTCACGTTTTTTGCATTTAACAGGAAAGTTTATTCCACTCGAGAAATGACCATTAGATCTCCAATTGCAGGAGATTTTGCAGAGATCTATTTGACATTTATTGAGACCAGAGTAGTACAAGAGTATAGCAAATACATTTTGGCTATGTTCAGACATGCTACTCATACGGAATGAGACAAAAATGTATAAAGAGTTTATCAACAAGAATAAAGTAAGAGTAAAGTTAGTATCTGTGTACTTGTTCAATTTCTATCTATTATATATTTACTACATACATTTGGGCAATGATAAGATAAATATGATCTTATATAGGAAACCAACTTTGGTATCTTCCTATATACATTGGTTCTCACAGGGCTCATTCAACTACAAAATGGGTGTTTTGGTCATTACTATAATCTGTGCAGTGAAAGACTAGATGTGAGTCAGTCTGAGTAAGAAGACTATATATCAAATGAAAGGAGTGGAAGAGACATGAGTTGACACATAGATCACAATAATAAAATATAAAAATTGCAAAAAAATAAGACAATAAAATTACTTATGGTAAAGAAAGTATAAAAACATTTTTAAAATGTAAAAAATAAAATTGCTGAAAGAGATAAGATCCATGTGTCAGCTTTCACAAGCCTCCTTCCATCTGTTTCATCTGACACAGTCCTTTCTGGCTTGGGCTGACTCATGTCTAACCTTTTGAATGGACTTTAGTAGGGCATATAAATATTCTTCCACTAAAGAGTACTTGGAAATGGAACTCAGATACATCAGAGAAGTTTCCCATACATTCCAGCATTCTGATAAGTTTTTCCATAATGTCAATGTTTCTAGAAGGAAGGAACTTATGCAATCTTCAAATACTTCAACAAATACTTCAACAAAACCTCAGAAAGAGGAATATAAGAAGGTAACAATTATTACAAGGTTTGAGATGTCAAAAATAGTGCAAAAGCATTTTAAGAAGGAGGTCCATGTTATCAGTATCAGACCACCTTCAATGTATAATCTAGCAAAGAATGAGAAACACCACTTTTTTAGTTTTCTGACAGCATTCCAGAAGAACAAAATAGCTGTATTTATAGTTTCCAGTGGCTAGAAGTGAGACTTATAACCTTGCTTGCTATATAAGTAGTACATGTGCTGAAGGCAAGAATATAGGAACATCAGAAAGAGCAAGGTAATGACAGAATTGGCAGAATATACTTTCTTAGATAAATAAGCTGCACTTAAATGTCACAAGGATACAATTATACTTAATGAGGACAACATTCCAGTGAGGAATAACTGAGAAGTTGATAATTGCCACCACCCCACCAACGTTGAATATTTGAGCTCAAGGGCTGATATTGGGCTTAAGTAAACCAAACAGAATGGATTAAGACAATCAGCCAAGAGATATTTTTTAGCACTGCCCAGAAGGTTCCTGTGAATGGACTAAACATTACTAGTCTTTGAATTTGTAGTGGTTAATGAAAAACATTGAAATTTGTAGTTTTCATATGTAAGATGTGAGGTACATTTTTTGTAAAGACTATAGACTGAGACTGTTTGAAAAAATGTTTCTCCAAATTTCTATCAACACTGTTGGTTCCAATGTTAGAAAGATAAAATTTGAAAAGAATGGCATTTGTATTTGATTTAGAACATTAATTCAGTCTTGTAAATTTGTTTAGATACTGATGATGAGACATTCTATTTGTATTTGTAAAAGAGAGTGAGAGAGCTGTCAGTCATTTAGCTTGTTTAGATAGGAAATGGAAAGGAGATTCGAAGGAAACTTAATAAGGAAATCCAACACAAATACATTATTTCATTAAAGGAGTCAACATTAATAAATGTTGACTCCTTTAATGAAATAATGTATTTGTGTTGGATGCTAAATAAATTCAAATGTAATGAACACATTTTTTTATTCAAATGAACGCATATTCTAATTAAATAAATGCATGCATAAATAAAAATGCTGTTGCCATTACAGAAGACATATTAAAACTTTTAATTGTAATCAGTTACTTCATGTTTTATAAAATGTTTTTTTCTATTTGTTCAATGGTTGCCCCTGAACAATAACCTATATTAAATTTTACACAATTGTGTAATTTTGAATTGGTATTTTCTTGCTCAAATTTTGATTTTAAAATTCATTTTTTTGCTGAAAATTTCAAATTTTAATAATTACAAAGTTTTCATTTATGCTTGATTATTACAATACATGATTTGATACGTGGACATAGATAATGAAAAATATAGCACTTGAAGATTACATCTATATAATAAATGTGTACAGAGCAGAGAAATAAGTGATTTGTGGTAGCTATGTGTTTTTTTTACATGAATTAAATATTTAAAATCCTTCAGAATTGAAATTCTAAATTTTAAAAGTTGTGTCAAAATTTTTTTGCAGTATCAAAAAATATATTTAAAAAATTGATATTTGTGTGTGTATTCTTGATTTTCATCTAGTAACATAAAAGTTACCATACTGTTGTGAAAACTGATACAAATAGTTTCAAATCTGATTCAGAGTGTCTGATTTGCATTGTTAATTTTATCAGTTGCTTCAATTTTTTTCTTTTATGCTGACTAGCCTTATTGAATATTAGACCATCCAAATCTGCAACATATATTTCTTTATTATGAGTTTGCACTTTGCAAAACTTCAACCTACTCCAGTCGTCTTAAATTATGGAAATTTTGATATATATAATAAAATCAATATTTTTTGAAATTATATATATATATTATATNGTTGGCGTATCGTTAAAACACACGAAACACGAGGTTTTGTTATAACGGGCATGACTGCTACTTTAATTGGAAATGTATTCAAGATTTTAGACTTATAAATATATTTTAGAACAATTCATAAAATTATTGCAAAATTTACATTATTTTTAAATAAATTAGTACAAAAAAATTGCACTTATTTGGAGAGGTTGGAATTAGATGTAATTTTATGCAAATATTCTAATTGGAAACACGGAAATAGATCACAATACAAATGAAATTTACATAATCCTTCCAGCTAGTCCCAACTTACTATATAAAATTAACGGAAAATAAATTATAAAAAGTTTTATATAAATTTTTAAAAAGTCGCCATTTTGTTTCCATGTTATAATTTTTAATGACTTAAAACCTTCTTTAAATCTGGAAAAATTGAATGAATTTATTACATATAGTATCGTAAATTATTGTGACATATTGTGTGACGTATCACGTGAAAAATGACGTCTCAGATTACATGAAATTAAATTTTACTTCGTAAAATGTTCTTGAATTTTATATAATCATTAACTCTGATCAGAATATGAAAATATAGAAGGTTCGTACTTAATCATTCCCTTGATATTTAAGTAATTTATTAATAATTTAAATTTTTAAAAATAATTAAACTAAATGCTTATACTTTATAAACCCACAACTGGGCTTTAATTAATTGTGGCCTTAAGCTTAATAGCGAATAATAGGCCTTAAGCTTAATAGTGAAAGGCTCTAAATTGTAGCATGTTTAATTCAGGAGAAAATCAGATACTGCCTCACTCCTCGCAGTCGCTACATTAGCCTATTATTTAAAAATAATTACATTTTTTGTGTTTATATTGTAAATTTTTAATACAATAGCTTGCGTGGATTTTAATAAAATCGAAGAATTAATTCACGTCACCAAATTCAAAATGTCTGACTTAAATAGAGATTTAGAAGTATTGGTTCTGGCATTACCTATCATTTGTTGGATCATTAATTTGGCATCGTCTTTCGAACACACCCAAATAATTTTCGGTTACGAGCGACTTTAAATCTAATTATTACCTGAAATTACCCGCTTTCTTCTTTTATAAACTTTCTAAGGGAATATATAAAATAATTTTATTTTATTTTTGTTAGGTATAGAATCAAATCATTGTCTTTTAACTATGATCTCAGGGAAAAATCCATACTCAACAGCAAAAGAAGATATGGCTTTACAGTTAGCCACTAAATTAAGGAATCTAAAAGATGCAATATCGAGAAGTCGTTTACAGATCCGTCCATTTGTTTTAGTGTCATCTTTATCGAACCTGAGTAATCCACATCTACCCACAATACAGTCTGCTCTAAGTGATCTCTCGGACAAACCTTGTGTCTTGCTAAGATCAAGCAAAAATTCACTGAAGCCAAGAATACAGTCGGACATAAAACAGAGCAATGTTTTATCGGTCGTACCATTTTCAACTACTAAGCCCATTACTCTCTTGAATCTCAAAGGGTTTGTGTTGGTTTCAAAGAAACCTACCTTGAAAATGGAGGATAAGGAAAATGAACAATTGGAGAAAGCAAAAATTAGAAAAAGACAGAAAAGTCAACTCAGAAGCATTTGTCAAGAAGTTGAGAGTAAAGTATGAAAGAAATGTCTATTGCTTAATGGATTTTAATTATAATTAACATCAGTATTTTTGTGAAATATGAAAAAATTACAAACTAATAGAAGCAAATTGAATTTAAAACTAATAATAAAGTTTAGACTAAACTTACAAATTAATATTTCATTTAATGAGAAGTATGATATTTTAAATATTTTTACTAGTTTAAATTATAATTGCTTAAATGGTAATGATGAACAGTTTTTATTTATATATTAATGATAGCATGCCAAAATCAAAATTTTATTTTACATAATTCTGTATTTAAAACCATGGCTGATGTCAAAATGATTTTTTTGTTAGATTAGATTACATTTTACTCAAGGTACAAGTTAGCTTTCCAATATATTGTAAGTAGGCTACCGGTAAGGTGAAACTGAAATGATATATCACTTTGCCATAGGCTACTATATACTCTAGCACAACACAATTTTCAATAAAATGACATCTGTAATATATATATATATATATATAATCATACAAAAAGGGATGTAGGCAACAGGGTCACTTACATCATATTCTCTGATAAATAAGTTAAGCAAACAAATTTTAGTTGAAAATATTTGTGGTGACCTACTAGAGTTAAAATAGGTGGCACACAGTAATTTGCTAGGGATATTGTTCTACTCAAATCTCTACCACAGAGCGGTAAACATTTTATAATTATAATTCAAACCATAGTTTTTTAAAAATTTTGAAGCATAAAAAGTTGACTTACACCATAATTTACAACACTTAAAAATCCAATAGATATAAACAGCATAGTTTTGTTATATTGTAATGGTATATAAAAACAATTTTACACAATGATGTTAAAATAATTATAAAAAATAGAATAGAAATAGACAAATCNGTAAATTTTAATCAAATTATAATTATGAATTAAATCATTTGTGTGGCATTGTTGAACGCATTAAGCTTCCAGCAGAAGGAACCGGGTTCGGTTTCCAGTTGGAGTGCTCTCTACATTTTTTCAAACTGCTTTATGATAGAAATTAAGCTATAAAAGTAGAATGAGGAAATTAATTAGCTAAAAATTGTTATTTTGGTGCATTTAAATTCGAATATAAAATCCCATTTTAAAGATTTTCAAGTTACTATACTTCAGAGATTTTACGTTTATCTCCTGTAACACTTAATAAAAAAAATATGTTATTCGCATTTGATATACGCGAATAACTTTTTTTTATCGAGTGTAACGGGAGATTTATTCGCTAAAGTTTAAAGAGCTTTGGAAAATCCTAGAAAATATTTAAAAATTTGGGAAGAGAAACGATTTAACATGAATTTTAAGTTACATTTTTGTGGATACTAATCGGGTAAAGAATATGAAGATGGAAAAAACGTACAATTCTAGTTTATTATAATTAAAAACGATTTAGTTTATCGTCATTATATCAAAGAAGGTAAATTAATTACATTGAATAAATTACAGTATCGACACTTTTGTCAATTGCTACTCAATAAAACTGACATTCTGTTCTTGTAACTGTTTAAATGGAGTGAAAATATTGGTTAATTTGGCCATTTTTCATAAAATCTCAAACTAGAAACTTGAGATAAGTCTCTCAGTTTGCATTTTATTTAGGTTTAGAATTTATGACGATAAAAAAACAGTTTCATTCGATCTTTCTTGGTCTTCCAGTCTCTAACGATCAATTGATCTTCTTGATCTTTAGAGACCGAAATGATGCTAACGAATATATAAAGGTTCTGTTACTTTAAAATTGCATTTAAAATATAAATTAAATAAAAGTTAGTTGATATTTTCATATAATTTAATTTAATATAATATTTTTGTATTGTATGATCTAGTTGATGCGTAAATAATTGAATATTTGAAGAAATATTTAAACTCCTTTGATATTTATTAATTATTGCATAATAATTAATAAATTTCGAATAAAAAGAGTTTAAATTTTTACTTAATTAAACTTTTAAAATATATTTATAAATTTTTAATGATAATAATTGATCTCAACTTAATAAATTATGATAAAATTTACTTTCATAATGACAATAAAATGACAGTAAATTGACATATAATTACATTAATTAAATTCTATAAATAACCAGATATGACGTATATATCGGGCTATATATAATATATCCCATATATAACAACAATGCATGTACAGCACTGTATATGTATTGAATAACTCGAATTAATAATAAAACAATTAGTAATGGATATATAAAAGGGCGCCATTTTTGTCCCATTAAAAAAATTTAAAAAATATAAAATAAAATTCCATAAAATGTTTGCCTGGACACAGAACTGATAGAAAAATCTCCCTATTTCAATGGATTTATGGATAGAAATCTGATGACAGCAATAAAAAAATAATTTAAATACTTTGAAAAATTGCTATTTAATATATATTTACACATAAAAAATATTACGTGTCAAATTTTTTAAAAAATACATAATAAAATTGTGCGTTATACCCATTTTAAAAATGTATTTTTTCTTATAAAATAAAGTAAATTATATGTTTTAATTATAATTACTTGTATTTAGAAAATATATTTGAAATTTTAATTTAAAAAAATGAAGTTTTAAACTTTTACGACATTAAAAAATAAAATCAAAAATTTCAATTTTTCATTTTGTCGATAAGACGAGAACATTTTTATTTTTAAAAAAGTCATAAAATTTTAAATGGAATTTCATCCTTAAAAATATTTTTTTTTTAAGATTTACGATTAAAAAGTTCATAAATTAAATTGAGAATTTGTCTAAAGAAGAGAATTGTTTCGATTTTTATTTATAAAGAAAAAAAATCAATCGATAGAGAAAAATTATTCTCTCGCCATTCGATTCCATTAAAGAAAGCGAGAATATATGAAATTACAATTTCCTTTTTTCAATTTTTTCTCAATTTTTGGGCTGCAATTTGGAAAAATTGTAAACCTATAAATTCTCACTGTCGTCTGTCTGTGTGTCTGCTCGTCCTCAATCTCTGTAACAGAGTTAGACAGATGAAAGACTAGATATGGAAACCTTAGGGGCCAATATGTGTGTGTGAGTAATTGTGTGTTGAGAATGATAGAATGTGAATTTGTATAAATCAGTGAGTAACGTGTATTGAGAATGTGAATGAGTGAGTAAGCGTGTTAGAGTAGACTAAATGAAATGAGCAAGTGTGATTGTGTGGATGTAAATGACTGTAAACGAGTGAGTATGATTAGGTGTGCGCGCGAATGAATAATTAGATGTAAATCAGATAAGCATGTGTTATCCAGACGAGTGTAAACGAATGAGCACGCGTGATTACGTACGAGTGTGTGATTATGTTTGACAGCGAATGATTAAGTGAACGCGTATAAACGAACGGGTGAGTTTGCGTGATTAGATGTAAATGAAATGAAAGTGTATAGTGCGTGAGGAATATATATGCGTATAAATGAGTGAATGAGTACGAGTAATAACATATGAATGTGGATGAGTGAGGTATATGATTAGGTATAAGTGAATGAGTGAGTTGCCTGATTAGGCATAAATGAAATGAATGAGTACGCGTAATTATATGTAAATATGGGTGAGTACATACGAGTGCAGCGCCAACGCGAGTAGGGTATCTACTGGGGTTTATCATTTCCCGGTCTTTTGCTTGTCTCGGGATTCCGGGATAAAAGTGAACCATTTCCCGGGACAGAATTAATTATTTTTAAGATATACAAAATATCACGAAATCAAATGATACAATTATTTTTCATTTTTAAAGTAATTTAATACGTTCCGCAACCTCCAAAATCATATTAATAATGCTGTGTAAGAAGATATAGCCTATATTAAAAATTACCTTCGAATTACGTAGAAATTTTCACAAATAGAAAAAAATTTATTAAACTTTGCTGGAAACTGCATACAACAACAATAACAACAACAACAAAATGCTTTGAATCGAGTTCAAAATTTAAAAAAAAATGAATTTAGATAAACGTCTAACTTAGAAGGTAATTTTCGTTTTTTTAAATAAAACGTAATACAAAATATTATGGTAAATTTTTATAATAAGGTTTTGAAAAGCAAAGACGGTCGATACTCGGATCAGTCAATCCGATTCTTATTTTAGTAATGAAAAGTCCAGCTACCGAGAATGCCCTTTCCGATTCAATAGATGTGAGTGGAATCGTGTTTAATGCGCTGAAGAGAAGAAGACAGATGTTACATGTTTTTTTCACCCGTAGCCTGGAAGATTTCGAGTTCGTTTTCGAGATTGTAGTACTTCTTTCGCTCTCTTGTATTCTCGATTTGTCTACATCGAGCTTATAGCTCGATAATTCCGCAATTCGTTTGACTTTAATAATTAGGTTTATGAAGAAACACTCCATACTCGCAGACTTCGTACTCGTTTGTACCCTCGCCCAATTTGCGCAACTTGGCGTTACGCGGTTATCGAAGCTACCGGGCACGGTTAAAAATTAAGACGGCGTAAGCGCAATTATTCTAGATATTACGGGTTCCGACGAGTAAAGAATTTTCGTAGTCCCGCCACAAATAAGCTACGTATTGATTATCGACCATTTGTGACGCGCTATAACGAGGAAAAATTTAAAAAACTAAGTAAGTAAGTTTAAAAGTAATAAATACAAATGTATTCCGACAGTTTACGAGTTAATTATAATTTCTATTTGCAAAATTTCCTCGACCTTAACACAAAATAAGAAAAAGTGAATTTTTAAGAAATTTGCAGGATTTCCCGGGTTAAAAAAAACAACCGGGATCCCGGGATGTCGTTTGAGAAACCNGGGACCGATGTGCAGGTGCGTTGTCATGCAGAAGGTACCAGTCTCCACTTTGCCAGATCTGTGGCCATTTACGATGAATGGATTACCTCAAACAACAAAAAAGCATTATCTAGACATAAAATGTCTAGATAATGCTCCTTGTTTACTGTTCTGCCCTCGGGAATAAATTCTGAATGAACAGTTCCTTGAGAATCAAAAAACACCTCCATCATGACTTTTCCTTTGCTCAGTGCATGTTAAGATCGTCTGTTAAAATACGCTGGCAACTAGTCTTTGATAAGTGAGTAGCCGCAGCGATTTTTTCAAGGGTTTGGCGACGATCTTTGCAAACACATTGATAGACCAACTCAACATTTTCGTCGTTCCATGAAGTTGAAGGTTGGCCAGTGCATTCGTCTGCGATGGATTCTCGGCCCTCTTTAAAACACCGATGCCATTTGTACATCTTTGATTTTGCCATGATAAAATCACCGTACATCTTTCTTAGCAATTTTAAAGTCTCCATAGGTGTTTTACCTAAATGCTGACAAAATTTAATGTTGCAGTGCTGTTCTTGAAACTCCATTTTTATTATGTCGCAAAACAAAGGTAACTATCTCCGAAAGAAAACAACAGCGCTCGCTGTTTAATCACGTAACATGGGCGAAACCAACCTTAACACGTAGGAAAGGTTTGATAGAATCAATTTCATACGCTGTAACTTGAAATACATGTTTTTGTTGTCATACATTACTGCAGTCACCGAACTTTTGGATTGTACCACGTATTTGTGATATTGTAAATTAGCAAATGATTGCCATTAACTAAATCAAAGTTTTTTCTTTATACATCCTATATAATAGACAATTCAAGTATTCCTTCAGTTGATTAGATTATTAGATTCACTTAAAAACATAATAATTTTTCACCAAAATGAAATACAAATCTTAATGAACTTATTTGTATTTTTTATTTTATTATAGGAAAATATTAAAAATTAATGTTTGAAGTGATATTACTTTGAAAGAATAGTTTNTGTGAGACTTAGCCCCATATTTACAATGCAACTGAATATGAAAAATGCGTGTGTTAATGTCTCATATTTATTTAAAAAGTTAATAACTTGATCGATTAAAAGGAAACAGAAAATGTTCATAGTTGATAAATTAGACTTTTTATAAACAAAGTCAATCAGATTTATTGGAGTCGTCAGAAAAGATTTATGTAGGTATTAAGACAATGAGAACGAATCAAAATCCGTAAACTTCATGAAATTGAACAAAGGAACTGGAAAAGAATTCAATTCTACTTTTAATCCGATTTCATCTCAGATATTTCCAATTGATCAGATTATTTAAATCTTCCTTTTAATTAAAATACTTAAACACAGAAAATCTTAATTAAATATTAAAGAACTTCCATGTTTCTGTTAGAATACATAAGAAATATAACATTACATCGCTTACGATCGAAATTATCTTACGTTTGTGTACTGAAACTGCGCGCGCCAAGCGCGACCGCAGTTTCAGTACACAAACGTAAGATAATTTTACTGTAACACAGCGCGGTGTTACAGTAAGATGACTTGTAACGTTATACTGTAAAAATATGTAAAATTTTTGTATTTTTGTCAAATATACAAATAAGTGTCTACGATTTTGTATATTTAATATAAACTGCGCGAATAGATATATTTTACTTATTAATATTGCAGTTATTTAATATTTACGCAATGTGGCGCGCGCGCCGCGCGGAACCTTAAGTCATGTCATCTAATGCGAGGTACAGCTTTTTTCGCTTTCGTTTTATTTTAAACTCTCTTATTTCTGCTCTTATTAATAAATTCATAAAAAAAATTATAATTTCAGCTGTCATTTCTCTAAAACATATAGTAACACGCAATAATTTATAAAGTTTTATAACGTAATTAAAATTAATTACAATTAGAAACTTACTTAAAATTAATTTTTCAAAGCTATTGACTTTCGAAACTGTTATTAAAGATTTCTATTTTTTTATTTTCTAAATGAAAATTATTTCTTGTCAAATTTAATATTTTTAATTAACGAGAAATGTTTAATTATTCATTAAGAAATCTTTTAATGAAGATAAAGTAAACATAACTCTTAAATTAATCGACCAAGAATTTATAATAAAGAATGATTAATTTTCAATAAATTTACTACATTTACTTTAATAAATTTCCATTAATTTATCGTCTATACTTTAAAAATCTTTCTACGGAGTTCGTGTGTTTGTTTATCTAAAATTATTGTTTTTAAATGTTGTTGTTGTTTATCCAACAAATTGCTTAATTGTTCGATTATTGACAAACTTTATGTACCGTTAAAGCAGTTTCGTATGTCATTAAAGTTACAAAAGAAACTTCTTCAACCTTTAAGTACAACGAATTGATGTTGTACAGTACATCTCGTTTAAGTTTAATTAAGATGTAAATATATTTATTAATTAATCTAATTAGTAAACCGTATACGGTTTAAATTAATGCATAAATTAAATCGAAATGTTTTTATAACTTAATTCTCCAATTTTCTTGAATGTGTTTGCTCATCTTCCGTATTATTTAATCACGTATCGAATAATCGATAAATTTACATAAAAATGCAATTATCTTTAATTAAGCTTTGTTTAATTATAATTTAGAATATGATCTAAAATAATTCAAATTCAAATTAATCGGGATCTCCTGCTTCTAATCCTTCTATATCTAGTCTTGACTTTCATGTATATAACCCGTTCTCGACATTAAGGAAGGAAAGACAGTGGGAATTTATAGGTCTACAATTTTTTCAAATTGCAGTCCAAAAAGTAGATCAAGTTTAACTTACAAACTTACAATTTTCCGATTCTCCTTACAAGAAACTAAAGACATATACAGTATATATGTCTTTAGTTTCTTGTAAGGAGTTCATTGACACGTGACCCCGCTATCTCTCCACCCCTTGACCTTTAACCACAAAAATTTAGTAGCATTTTATACCTAATACCCAAATCTATTTGCAAAATTTCAGAAATTTTCGACGAAAGATACGAAAGTTATTAAGCATCAAAATAAGTGGACAAAAGCGTGTCTTCACACACTAATAGCCACACATATAGAAAACCTGAAAGTTTTTTACATTTCTCGACATTTCTAATTCCCCGAGTCCAAAAGATGCAAAAATTCTAGGTAGTCATTTTTTGACCCATTTTTGTCTCATTTTTGTCATACTTTCCCCATTATATATAGCAGCCAGATAAGTAAAAATTCGTTCGATACTCGAACAGCCTTCTGGTAGTTCGAGTACCGAGGTACCACTAAATTTGTTAACTTTAACTCCTCAAAATTCCTCTTATCTTCCGCATCACTTATCCATTTTACTCATATCGTCATCATTAGATTCTTAATAATTATTTGTTAACTAATCGATATAGTAAAATGTAATTAATTCCAATTAAATTTTAATAAATTGCAATTTTAAATATAATTTTTAAAGATTAGGATGCAAAAAAGTAGTAAAAATTGACATTTGTAAGAAAGATTCTTATCTGAGATTCATAGTTGATGTTTTTATCAATGATTTAATCTTTTGAATAAAGTTGCTGCTTTATTATCAAACTTTATATCAATGAATAAATTAATGATCTCTCCTACAATTGATTTAACTGTTTTAAAGCTTTATCAGTATCGTGATAACAAATTTAAACGGAAATTTCGTAGCGTAAAGATGCTTGCGCGCTTATCTACTATCAATATAACTATTTTAAATTTATTTATATGTTAAAAAAGATAACAAATCTTTAAAATTTGATAATTTAATTAAAAACTTAAATCAATTGTAATTAAAATATTTAATTTTTAATTGAAAAATCAAAGGTGGGAAGATTTATAGAGTAGAGGCGCGCCTACGCACTAAATCTAAAATTGTGAATTTATTATTTTTAACTTAAAACTTATATCTGAAATTTAAAAATACAAATTTAGATATATATCTTTATTGTTGTTATTCTTTAATGATTAGAGTTTAATGTGTCTAATGCTCCGTTGCGTCGCAACCGAGCATTTTAAATAAGCTAATTTAAATATATATAGAAAATATTTTAAAGTGTAAAAATTAAATAAATTTACTCAAATTTATTAAACATCACGTACAGAAAGCTATTGTGACGTTTCTATGAACAGAAAATTAAATTTATGGAAGAGGAAAAGTTGGAAGAAGAAAGGAAAACTATCAGAACTAATGGCATTAACGATTACTTTATAATAAGGATAGTTGCCGAGAATTTTTCCCTTATTATCCTTGCCAAGAATAATTATTTATTAATTTCTATTATTATTTAGTTACTAGCTGTAAATTAATAATTAATTTTAAATGCCGTGCATTATTTTGTTTTGTATGGAGCAGGTACGTGTGTTATTGCGTAAACGACGATGTTCATGTAACAAAAATGTATTCTGATAAAGTTTCAGTGATACGTAATATCTAGTCGTCAGTTCCTGTCTTTTTTAATAAGACTTTTTTATATTGGATGAATTATTTTGGTAGGAAAATCGATAAGCCAATTGCGTGTGTCTACGTATCTATCTGTAAATGTCTGTATCAATATACAGTATATATCTTCATCTGTCGTATGTATAAGCGTGCCATAAATAAATGAATTTCATATAAGGACGACCCAAAAGTCAGTCAACCACATTTTATGTGTTTCGATTACAATAGTGAATAAAAATCGCAAGTTAAATTCTGAGAACACGTTTAAAGTTAAATATGACGACAATTTATTCTTTGCAGTGGTTACCTGACTTTTGAGCCACGCTATAGATTTCACACATAGTTGAAAAATATTTAAAGTTCACTCGAGACGACTGGCTTCAGAAAGATTCATTATTCAAGAAGATAATCCATTTACAATTAAAATGACTCAATTAATTCTTATAAGTAAAAGGTCATTCAATAAGTATTGTTCGATTTCTTGTGTCCTAGAGGATTTCGGGATAAATCCACTCCCTATTCACGTCATTGACATCAAGTAAATTACAAAAGATTATTGTCGGGCACGTGGCTCTTCAACTGTCAATTTTGTATCGCGATCATTGATTTGTTCATTAATTTATTTTAATAATTTATGGTAAAATGTAAAATTTGATAGTATATTTTTCGTGTTAAAAATTCTCTTTGTTGTTTTTAGTATAATCAAGTAATTTGCATAAAGATAATCTTTAGAACATTAAAAATTCAAAAGGACAATTCTTCTTACTACAAAAAAAACAGAGGGAAAAAATTGGTGAGTTGAAAGGATTTTTATAAATCGATATTTATGTTTATTATTATTTATTTTATTTTAATTTTTCCACAAAATAAAAAAACCAGTATTTTAAATGTTTTGGCATTACAATTTATTTAATGTTTACGTAATCGCTCTAATGTTTAAGCAGGATTTTAATATCAAAATAATTGAGTGTTTTTTCCAATTCGAATGTTTGTAAATATTAATAAAATATCTTTTTTAATTTTTTTCTGGTGGATATAGAATAATACAAGTTGATGAATTTACTTTTAATGGAGAGTAATTACTGATGCGTAGATATATTTTTTAACCTGTAGGTGGCCCTCACTAAGGTTTCGTGGATAAAAATATAGTACTTACAATACTAAAAAAGGAGGTTGTAAAAAATTAAAATGGACTATAAAATACTAAGAAAAATTAAAAATACTTAAATGCTGTATCTTAATTTTCGATCATCGATCAAACGTTTTCTTTCTTTTTTGGAAACAGATAGAGGTAAACGAGTGTAAGTTCCTCGCATACTTTTTCACGAATCGACTTGGCATGCTTAAGTATTTTTCTTGATATATGTAGTATGGATGACATAGAAAAATAACCGTGGTATCCAATTCTTATTGTTTGTATATAAAGAAAAGAAAAAAATATATGTTTTTATATTTCCTTTTTAGTGGGGTTGCATTACTATAGAGACAGTTGGCGCGTGTGCTTTATACTGATAAGCAAAAAACAACAAAGATTTTAGGTGA